GCGTTTCTCACACATGTTGTAAAACTACATATGCTGCCAACCAAGGTGGTCTCCGATAGGGGCACTCAGTTTGTTTCTAAGTTTTCAGGGGAATTGATGAAGCTTATGGGGGTGGAGCGGGGATTGAGTAGCGCTTACCACCCAGAAACGGACGGTCAAATGGAGAGAGTTAACCAGACCTTGGAACAATATCTCCGTTGCTTTACTAACTATCCACAAGACAATTGGACCGACTTATTACCCCTGGCAGAATTCTGCTATAATAACACTTGTCACTCTTCCACGGGAATGTCCCCATTCAAGTGTTGTATGGCTATGACAGCCCCCCAGTGCCTTTTCTGGAAGGGGACTTGGACATGGGGTCAGGGGAGGCGGGCCAATGGTGCAAAGAACTGAGAGACTCTTGGCTCCTATTATGCAAGACACTGAACGTGGCTAAAGATGCGTATAAAGCCCAGGCTGATAGGAGAAGGGTGGAGGGTTGGGCTCTACAACCTGGAGACTTGGTGTATGTGGGAACCAAAAACATTCAAATGCTGAGACCAAGTAGAAAACTTGGTTGTAAGTTCATTAGGCCGTTTAAAGTGCGTAAAATTATCAATAATGTAGCAGTTGATGTTGAATTGCCAAAAAACTTCAGGAAATTGCATTCTGTATTTCATTTCAGCCTCCTGAAGAAAGCTTCCAGTTCCAGCGAATGGCGTCCTGCACAACCAGTGCCCCCTCCCGTCATGGTTGAGGGCGAGGAACACTATGAGATTTCTAAAATCATGGACTCTAAGTTGAAAAGGGGAAAACTGTTGTACCTGGTTGAATGGAAATATTTCGGACCCCAGCATCTTGAATGGGTGGAAGCAGGTGATATTAGGACCCCTCAGTTGATCCGACAGTTCCACAGGGAGTTCCCGGGCAAACCGGGAGATCTCCCGGACTAACCGGGACACTGCTCGGAAAGGGTGGGGGAAGCTGGTTTTCGAGAGGGCAGTATGTCAGCTATGCCACCATGAAGGTGGAGGGAGTTTTTTTCTTGCATTCCATTCCATGCGCTTAATTGCTTAACAGCTGTAACGCTTATCTTTGATGTTGTACTGGAGAGCGATATGTGGTGTCTACTCTTCGTGGGAGCTTCTCCGTTCCCAGCTTCGCAACTGTTAGAGGGCCTAGCAATTCCCCGCGTGCAGGACTGAGCCTAATTGGCCATTGCTGGGGGGGGGGTTCATACGAATACCCTATATCCTATTATGCGCATAGGTAACCCGCCATTCTTAACAGTGTTCCTGTTACTGCATCTATGGGTTTTCAATAAAGTATAACATTCCTGAAAGTGTGTGCTACGTTGATTGAGCTGTGGGTTCTGACACCCTCCTTCCTGAGCGAAGACAAAAATGTGTGAGCCGGAGGCTAAAAAACTGTGAGCTAGCTCACACTAACTCAGCTTAGAGGGAACACTGGACACTACCTATAGTGTGTGCAGTTACAATTGCATAGCTTTAACTGCTGCCTGGTGAGGAATTTCTACCCATATATAGCTGTATTATGGATTTATGTCAAACATACATAAAATGTGTCCCACCACGGCTCATGTTTTTGACATGGAGAGCTTTTGGGGCTCTTCAAAAGGTTTAACAAGTTAATAGATAAGGGTCTTCCAGTAGACTTCATAAACCTGAACATCTAAGGAGGAGACAACTAGAGGAGACAATGTTTTAAAAGTCTGTCCTTAGTTCCCCTGACCTGACTCTCATATCATCAGCTGACTTCTCAGAGTCTTGACATGTGGCTGATGGTATGCAAGTCAGGTCAAGAGAACTCAGACCTGAATCTCAAAAGAAAAATCATCTTGTCAAGTTTGTCTTTAAAAAGCATTTGACAAAATCCCTCATCTGAGGCTGTGGTCAGACATGCAGTTTGATACAGTGTGGCCCTGCCTCTAATTGATCCAGGGGTTTTTGTAACGAGAATTGTGATCAGACTCACCCCCTTAGCACTCTTCGAAGCGTTTTCACCCCATCCTTGAGCAATCAGATGCAGCAGCCAGGGAGTAGAGAAATTTTTTAAAACTTGTCCTTTGCGCATGCGCACAAGCACTGATGAGCCTGCTTGGATATGTCATTCACTGCCATCCTCTCTCTCTGATCTTTTAAATTAACCCCTTCCCCAAAGCACAGAAAAATGTTGAAGTACAGAGGTGTCATTCTTTGAAAGATTTTTATAAAGAAAACACAGTTTTGAGAAGCCCCTGTGGGAGACGGGGAGAGAGAGAGAGAGAGAGAGAGAGAGAGGTGCAAATATGCAGTTATGCACACATCACTAACTAGACAAAAATGGTGGCTGGAAAACATGAGACCAGTGAGACCTACCTGATGGCTTCAGTGTGCAACAGAGCGATCAGACAACAGGAAATCTGGTTTAAAACCAGCTCAGGCCAAAAGGACCAGACTTTCACAGATACCAAAGAAACACACAGTAATGGGGGAGGAAATGGGACACAGAAAACTGGGGCACAACAAACAGATGTTACTGTCTGATCGTGCACTTTAAATCTGGAAGGGAACAGCAAAGGCAATGGATCGAACTGCATGTCTGATCACAGCCAAAGACTCCTGGGTAAGTCATGGGATAATAGGTCAGGTCTTTCTATTGATTAAAAAATGATTTAACATAAGAAGCAGAGAGCAGGAATAAATGGACAATTATCTGAAGGGAAATAAGTAAGCAGTAGGGTCCCTCAAAGGTCAGTATTGGGACAAGTGCTATTGAATTTGTTCATAAATTATTTTGGTTTTGGTCTGAGCATTTCAGTGGGCAGGTTTCTGGATTGCATCAACATATTCAGGATGGTGAAAACCAAGAACAGTTCCACGAGGGTGTCTCCAAACTTGGCGAACTCTTACATAAGAACATAAGAGATGCCAATGTTGGATCAGGCCAAAGGCCCATCCAGTCCAACACTCTGTATCACACAGTGGCCAGAAATACCAGTGCCATCAGGAGGTCCACCAGTGGGGCCCTCCATATGCTTATCTAATTCCCTTTTGAAGCCGTCCATGCTTGTAGCACCCACCACTTCCTGTGGCAGTGAATTCCATGTGTTAATCACTCTTTGGGTGAAGAAGTACTTCCTTTTATCCGTTCTAACCCGACCGCTCAGCAATTTCATGGAGTGCCCACGGGTTCTTGTATTGTGAGAAAGGGAGAAAAGTACCTCTTTCTCTACCTGCTCTTTCCCATGCATAATCTTATAAACCTCGATCATGTCACCCCTCAGTCGTCTTTTCTCCAAGCTAAAGAGCCCTAAGCGCTTTAACCTTTCCTCATAGGGAAAGTGTTCCAACCCTTTTATCATTCGAGTTGCCCTTTTCTGCACTTTTTCCAAAGCTATAATATCCTTTTTAAGGTGTGGTGCCCAGAACTGCACACAGTATTCCAAATGAGGTCTCACCATTGATTTATATAGGGGCATTATGATATTGGCTGATCTGTTTACAATACCCTTCCTAATAATCCCCAGCATAGCATTTGCCTTCTTTATTGCAGTCACACACTGTCTCGACATTTTCAGTGAGTTATCTACTACAACTCCAAGATCTCTCTCTTGATCTGTCTCTGCCAGTTCAGACCCCATCAATGTGTATTTATATTTAGGATTTTTGGCTCCAATGTGCATCACCTTGCACTTGGCCACATTGAACCCCATTTGCTATGTTGACGCCCACTTGCCCATCTTTGACAGATCCCTTTGGAGTGCCTCACAATCCTCACTGGTTTTCACCACCCTGAACAACTTCGTATCATCTGCAAATTTAGCCACTTCACTGCTTACTCCCAACTCCAAATCATTAATGAACAAGTTAAAAAGCAGTGGACCAAGTACTGATCCCTGCGGTACCCCACTGCTTACCCCCCTCCACTGAGAGAACTGCCCATTTATACTCACTCTCTGTTTTCTATTAATTAGCCAGTTTTTGATCCATAAAAGGACTTGTCCTTTTATCCCATGATTCCTCAGATGAGGTGCTATGCTTTGGCTCCCCTTCTAGGCACAACAGGTAGCAAGAAATGAAAAACAACTCATCCATTAGCATTTCATCACACCATGCTCAAAAAGAAAAGAAGAAAACAGAAAAGCTCTCCGTATTTTTAAAAGTAACTTTATTTAGCATTAAAAACAATGGGTCATTTTTGAGTTTTAAGCCCATATACCTTTTCAGTCGAACCCAGAACCCATCTCTGTCATGTTCCATAGAAAAATGCATGTAATGTGACATCCATGACAAGACAGGATGAAGAGAACCCATATTCCATATGCTAAAGTCTTATTAAGAAGATTTTTTAAAAACTTTCTAAAAGGTTCAGACCATTACCATTTTTTTTAAATGTATACTTTAAAAACAGACTCTGCTGAAATGACAGTCACCAATTCAGCAACTATATCCAGATACCTCCGTCTCAAACATTTTGAGAGGGGTACACTGGCCAAGACACCAGTGATCTTGCTTGTGTAGATTTTCCAATGAGGAGTCAGGTGCGATCCAGTATTTCGCAGCTTCCTATCACCTACTAGGACCACTCTGTTTTCAATAGGGCAAGGTTCAAGCTTGAGTGTACAGGCAATAGATTACAAAACAAAGAAGGAACTGAGGGAGAGACATAGGGAAGACTCTTCACTTGGTTCAAAGGCATCTGCCATCAGGTAATCAAGAAGATGGAACCAGGCCATCTAATCAAATAGTATATATATGGCAAATTCCCATACACAAGTTCCCTCATAGTTTCTTTTTAGTATGGATTTTCATCTGAGATATAAGGTGAAGCTTCTCCTATACTCTGAGCATTTATGTGACTTCTCTGTGGTTTCATTCATGTCTTGAAAGGTTGGAACTGGTACTAAAACATTTCACACAATATGAGCATATGCATGGCTTCTTTCCGTTATGGGTTCGTTCATGTGTTGAAAAGCCTGAATTGGTAATAAAACATTTCACTCAATATGAACACAGCTATAGCTTCTTTCCTGTGTGGATTCGCTCATGTGTTGAAAGGTCCAAATTGGTTCTAAAACATTTCCCACAATATGAGCATATATATGGCTTCTCTCCAGTATGGGTTCGTTTATGTCTTGTGAGGCTTGAACTGGTACTAAAGCATTTCCCACAATACGAGCATTTGTGTGGCTTCTCTCCAGTGTGGGTTCGTTCATGCTTTGAAAGGTCCGAACTGGTACTAAAACCTTTCCCACAATATGAGCATTTGTATGGCTTCTCACCAGTGTGGATTCGCTCATGTGTTGAGAGGTATGAACTGGTATTAAAACATTTCCCACAATATGAGCATTTGTATGGCTTCTCACCAGTGTGGATTCGCTCATGTGTTGAGAGGTCCAAATTGGTTCTAAAACATTTCCCACAATATAAGCATTTGTATGGCTTCTCTCCAGTGTGAGTTTGTTCATGTGCTGAGAGATTTGAACTGTTACTAAAACATTTCCCACAATATGAGCATATATATGGCTTCTCTCCAGTGTGGGTTCGTTCATGTTTTGTGAGGCTTGAACTGGTACTAAAACATTTCCCACAATACGAGCATTTGTGTGGCTTCTCTCCAGTGTGGATTCGCTCATGTTTTGAGAGGTCCAAATTGGTTCTAAAACATTTCCCACAATATAAGCATTTGTATGGCTTCTCTCCAGTGTGAGTTTGTTCATGTGCTGAGAGATTTGAACTGTTACTAAAACATTTCCCACAATATGAGCATATATATGGCTTCTCTCCAGTATGGGTTCGTTTATGTCTTGTGAGGCTTGAACTGGTACTAAAACATTTCCCACAATGTGAGCATATATGTGGCTTTTCTCCATTGTGGCTTCGTTCATGTCTTGAATGGCTGGAACAACTACTAAAAAATTCCCCACAATGCGAGCATTTCTCTGGCATTTCTTCTATGTGGAATTGTTTGTGTTTTGAAAGGACGGAAATAAAATTTCTCCCACAGTTGGGGCATATGGAACTTTTCTTCTCTCTCTGGATCAGCACACTATTGAAAAAGTTAGAATTCTGTCCCAGATTTTCACCATTTTCTCTGTCCCGCATTTCTCTCAAACAAGAAGTTGTTTCCCTTAAGCTTTGGTCAGCTTCTCTTTTCATTGGACCGAGTTGGGCACAGCTTCCCAGTCCCTGCTGACTTGCTTCTTGTATCTCAGCCATCTAGAAAGTCGTCCATTTTCTACCTATACTTGATCCAGTGAGATCACTTTGCTCGGGTTCACCCCACTGAACTATCTCCAGCTCATCCTTTCCTCCTTGCCTAATATCCCCTTGGGAGGAAAAAAGAAAGAAAATCAATTAGAATATCTGTATTTCACATGGAGTAAACAAAGCACCACATACATTTTAATCAGGGGTTTTTTTAGTAGAAAAAGCCCAGCAGGAACTCATTAGCATAATAGGCCACACCCAATAGCAAGAACTTATTAGCATATTGGGCCACACCCCTGACAGCACCACTCATTAGCATATTAGACCGCACCCACCTGTTACCAGAAGTGTGGTCATCCAGCCACACCAACCTTTTGCTTCTTATTCTGTTTACCTTGTTCGTTGACAAAACCCAGAGTTTTTTTGTAGCAGGAACTTCTTTGCATGTTAGGCCACACACCCCTAATGTAGCCAATCCTAATGAGTTTCTGCTGTTGGGTGTGGCCTATTATGCTAATGAGTTCCTGCTGGGCGTGGCCAACTCAGGAGCCAGCCAGAACTCCGTTCCTGTGCGTTCCTGCCCAAAAATAGCCCTGATTTTAATTATGCCCTTGAATAGCTTCAACTGCTGCCTTGTGAGGAA